ATTTTTTGCCAGATATTTTCATGGCTTACATCCCTCCTCTTTAGGTCACTCTCTCCATGGCATTTGTCATTATATCTCTATTATGACATATGTTTTATCTATTTATTGGTTTATTATATCTTCTTTGTCACTAGACTCTAAATTCCATGAGGACAGAAATTTAATCGATATTTTGTTTAAGAATGAATGAACAAATATATGCCAAGCAACAAGTATGTGTCAGGGACTGTGCTACTTGCTAGCACATGTGACTTATAATCCCTTCCCTCAGGAGAAGTGAGAGAGAGGCAAATAGTTAATTTCCTTATAGAACCTCTGACACTAGTCTTGCACGTCCATGAATCTAGTCTATAGTTATTCCCACACACTTTTTAAAGTTTATGTGTAAGTATCTTTGCTATATTATTGTCCTTTGACCCTTGAGAAAACCATGCTCTAAAATTAGCCTATAGGACCAGCTCTGAGGAAGCCACATTAACTGATGCCACCTCTCTTTGTGCCTTTGGGCAAATCCAAGAGTCTTTCTGCTTCTGTTTCCCCAGCTGTGAAATAGGATTACTAGTTTCTGCTTCATGGGAGTCTTTTGAGGATTTTTTCATTCATGTAGTAATATTTATTGAAAATGGTAAGTGCTAAGTAGTATTATGCCTAATTAATTAAGTCCTCATCTCCCTGGTGTGGGTTATGGTGTCTGGCTAGTCATTAATAAAATATGCTGGAAGCTTTGCAGATTTTCCTTTCAGAGCTCTCCTGATAGCTGCATAAACAGTGCATGAATTGGGCATCCAACCTTGTAGTTAAATACATACAGCTGTTTGAGTTCTACCGTGCTCACATTTATTTAGTTCTCAGACAATACAAAATTGGAAGGTGCTGAAAACACCAGTTTAGAAAGATAAATACTACAAAGGATCCTAGGGTGGTTAGTAGTAAAGCCAGAAAATAAAACTAAGAGTCAATTTGGATTTGCCAGAGAATGCCAATGATAATCTTAATACCTCTTCTGAAAAAATCGAGTGCTGTGAATTACTAGTGAAATAATAAGCAATATTGTAACTGGGTGCTATGGATGACATTATAGGGGAAATTATACAAGGATGTAGGATGACATCACTAATGAATGATACTGATATTATTGTTATATCACTTCAAAAAAGCAGATATTTTTTGAGAATATACTCATAATGAAACTGTTGTAATCTGAGTTCCCCATAAAGCAGTGTCTAAGTGCTCTTATTTGAAAATCAAGTTTAATCCCAGAGGGCAGGAGTGAGGCATAAGCAAAGCGAAGCACATAAGGAGAGAAAAGCAATACTAGGATATGTTACTGAGCTGACCATTGCTACATGTAAATAATTGTTCAACACGTGGGATGACATCCTCCTTGATCTTCTGAGGAAACATGATATGGGGATGAGATCTCAGGATTTAAACCACATATTGAGTCAAATACTTCCACTTCCCTGAGCTTTCTAATTTTTTTCCATACTAATGTTGGTTATCATTGCATCCAAGTTTCAAGGGGCTATTCAAATAAACTATTAGGGTTGGTTCCAGAAATCCTCAACAGAATATTGAATCCTGAGTACCCCCTGTTAATAAAATCTCTCCTGTTCAGCCTTATATCCTGCCCATTCCAAACCCCTTCTCTCTTCCTGTGTTAGAACATACTATCTTAGAGGTGGAACGATGGACTGAAAAGATTGTTTAATGCGATCTCTTACCTAATGGAATAATTCTTCATGAACTACTGTTTCATGGCGGTCATTGAGTCTTCGCATAATTCAGTGACAAGGTGTTTAACTCATAAGATCTGTTCCCTTTTTCCACTGTTCCTATTAGGTAATTCTTTTTATTGAGCATCAAAATCAATCTACCTATAATTCATATAATCATATTCTCACTGTTTTCTTTACTATTCTTTGTTTATTTGACTTCCCTTCAGCTTTGGACATTATGTCTGAAACTTTTTTAGAATTCTATCCACCCTTAGCTTCTGTGATAACTTAATTTTTTTCTCCCAATATCTACAGCTATTCCTTATCAAGTTTCATTTGTCAGTTTTCCTTACTCAACCTGTCTCTTATGTGACCATATTTCCTAGGCCCCCTTTTTGGGCATCTAACTTTTTCCTTCAATACACAAATATTGTGTGTCCTCATATAAACCTCTGACTTCAGCTATCAACTCCCAATCCTCCTTTTCTAACCCAGTGCACTCAGAGAGCTCCAGCTCTGTAATTTCAATTCTCTGCTGAACGTCTTTATTTGGATGTGTCTCAAACAGAACTCATCTTCTTTTCCTTCCCAATCCCTTCTTCCTGCTATTTCCTTGTCTTGATGCATGGAACTATCAAGCAACCATCTACCCAAACCAAAGATCTGGAAACAAAATCTAGATACGTTTCTTTCCTCACTGGTCTGCTCTGTACATAAACCTCCAAGGAATTCTAAATCCTTAAAAATCTTTCTATTCAATTAGGTCAGTGCTCATCCTTCACAAACAGATTTTTAGGAGTAAAATTCATTATGTTTCAAAAACCAATTTTTCAAACCAATGTCCAACGGGTAGATATCTCTAGCCATTGATTATCTGTCTTATTATCACTTCCATATTACTTTATACTTTGTTGGGCACATCCAGACCTCTACTTATTCCCTGTTCTCTAAACCTTCCCATAATGCCCTCTTGGACTGAGCATCATAAAGAGCAAATTTCAAAATATTACTAAGCTCTTCTAGAAGTATGCCCCATCCCTCCATTGCCATATCTGGTATCTACCTATTACTAAAGAATATACCTTTCCCTGCAATTTTCTAGCTACCCTGCAATTCTCCCTTCTTACCTACATACCTCAGGGTTGAGAGCCTTTACCATACTCTTGGTTCTTGGCACTAAACTTTGTTCATGGTTAAAACTCAAGAAATATTTTGAATAAATAGACCCATCCCCTTCACCTATCTCCACTGCTGCTGCCTTAATTCAGGTGTTCATCAGCTATAACTTAGATTACTAAAAGTACAGTTAATCTTCATTATTTCTGGATTTCATATTTAAAACTTCTCCTACTTGCTAAAATATTTTATAATCTCCCCTCCCCCCCGCCGCCGCCCACCGCCTGCCCGCTGCCCAATCGATATTCATAGGCTTTCACAGTTATTCTTGGACATGCTCAGAGTGGTAAAAAATTTGAGTCGTCCAGAAAGCATGTTCCAGCTGAATATGGCAATGCTCTGCTTTCTTGTTTTAGCTCTCATACTATAAACAGGTATCCTTTTGGCAATCTATTTAGTGCTACAATTAGTTTTTTGAAAATTTTGTTTTTAAAATTTTTGGTAATTCTGTTGTGTAAAATGACCACCAAGTTTTTGCTGAAGTGCTGGCTAGTGTTTCCAACCTCAAGAAGGCTGTGATGTGCCTTACAGAGAAAATGTGTGTTCAATAAGTATTGTTCAGGCATGAATTACAATGCTGTCCATCATAATTTTACTATTCATGAATTGACATCAAGATACAAACAAAAAAAGAAAAACGAATTTGTTGATCTGTACATGAGGTGCTCAGAAAGTGCTACCGTTAACATCTATAGTATTTGATGAACTATAGAAAAGATGGAAAAGTGGCTGAATTTGTGGATTCATGAGATAACAATCCTGTACTTTACCCAGAGGCAATGACTCAGTATTCACTAATTCAGTGTTCGCCATGACTTTATAGAGCATAAGTACAGCAAATAATGAGAATCAACTGTACCTCCTAACTGGTCCTAATGCCTCCAGCCTGGCACCATTGTTTTTTGAGGGATCTTTCTAAAACTAAAATCTAATCACATCACTCTCCGGTTTTAAAGGCTTCAAGGCTCCACATGGCTTCCAGGATAAAGTTCAAATTCCTTTAGTACAACTCAGGCCTCATTTCTTATCAATGCTCCCACACACATGTTCTTCTTTCCAATTATCATAACTACTTGCATTTTCACCAATTCTTTTATACTCTTTTGATTTCCCTTTACATTCACACATGCTGTTTCCTCTGCTTGCAATGTCCTTACTTCTTCCCCCTACTTCAGCTAGTTAATGCCTATTTATCTTTCTAATCTTATCTCAAGTGCACTTTTCTCTGGGCCCTTCACTGACCCCACAGTCTGATCAAGATGTCATTTCTCTGTGCTCCCGGAATACTTGTAGTATAGCACATACTGCGATGCTTGACTTTCCTTTGTCTGTCTTTCTTACTAGACTAAAGAGTCTTTCAGAACAAAAAGCATGTCTTTTTTGATATCTCTTTCTTAGTACCAAGGACAGTGCCTGACGTATTTCGTATACAGCAAAAGCTAAATATATATTTGTTCGTTGAATTCAGAATGAATAAATAACTAGTTTAATGAAATCTACATACTTCAAATATTTGAGGAATTGGCAGACTAAACATTCTAAGTTCATACAACTCTTTCTCAATGAACATGTTATTCAGAACTTTTTCCATGTTTACTCACTAAGGCCATCCTGGGTCATATTCCAATTATTTAGCAGTTCATTTTAAACCATCATGCATTTGAAACACTGTGACTCATATATGAGATATGATATGAAGCATGTGAAATAAAATGGTCTTTTATTTCCTTTGATTAGTATACATTAAATAGAAATAAATGAATAAATGAATGAGTACTAATGCAGCCTTAAGATTTCTTCCTTCTCCCACTTCCTTTTATCCTTATGTCTGCTGACTCCTATTGAGGTAGTTATTAATTAAAATCCCTATGTTTTTTTCATATATTGCTGGTAAACCAAATATCCTCAATACATGTTTAGAAAAAGTGTATTTTTCTATTCTGAATGCAGGATTTATCATTTAAGTCCTATTTAATTTTACCCAGCTACTTTTGGTTCGCTGTTACACCTTGTACATCTTTAAATTTTATTTATTTATTTATTTATTCACCCATCCATTTATTTATTTATTTATTTATTTATTTATTTATTTATTTATTTATTTATTTATTTATGGGATGCTTCGCAAATTTGCATGTCATCCTTGTGCAGGGGCCATGCTAATCTTCTCTCTATTATTGCTATTTTAGTATATGTGCTGCTGGAGTGAGCACCTGGTACTCACTCCTTTAAATATGAATTCTTTTACGTAAAACACTAGCTATTCTTCTCAACTTCATGACATGTTTTTATCCAAGTCATTGATATTAACATTAAACAAGTACAAGGACCCTGGCCTGAGTTTTATATCTGAAATCTATCAAAAAAAAATTAAGTACAATTATTTACTTATTTAAAAATCCTCCTAACCATATTATCAACTGGCCCAAATTTATACATATAGTTATGATGGATGCTGTGCAGTACAGTGGAAGACTATATATAAGTTTAGAGCAGACCTGCATTCATATTCCATCTCTACCTCTTACTAGATGATGACTGGCAGATTACTTAACCACTCTGAGCCTCACTTTCCTCACTTATAATTTGTAGATATTTTACCAAGGGGGCTTTTGTAAACTTCAGAGATAATGAACATGAAATGCTTCTTACAATGTGTGACATATAGTTTATAAATGACTAAAATAAGAGAATCGTTAAATTCCCTCCTGAAATCTAGGTATCTACAGCATCACATTAAACTTCAGTTGGTAAGTACATTAAAAATAAATAAATAAACTAAATGAGTTTAGCATTCAACCTGTGTGATCCTAAGAGAAACTTGCCTCCTGATCAATTTTTGTTTCTTCAAGTAGTACAAAGATCCTTTTCAGAACAAAAATTGTAGATTAAGATAATCTATTGCTCTGGTCCAATTGATTATTATTTAATATTGCCTGAAAATAGTACAGGGAAAAACGTGCACTTTGCCCTATGTGATTAACACATGATAATGACCAGGGAGGATGCACGTGCATGATGGATCTGTTCTTCTGAATTACTGACCCACGTTTGCATCCACTCTGTTTCCAGTCTGACATAAGCATATTTTTGCTTATTTTAACATTTCCTGCTAATACTCACCCAGAGTCTCTTTTTCCTTTCCATAACTCAAGCTGGCTGCTTGCTTTGCAGTTATTCCTACCCCGCTCCCCAGCTCATCCCAATTCACCATTAGCAAACAGATACAACCCAGGGGCAAGTACTGATTTGATCTTCCATTTACTCTACATCTGCCCCCCCCCTCTTTTATTTTTACTTTGATTTTTTTTAGACCACTATTAATCCCACTCTCTTCCTTCATCTTGTTTCTAACAAACTCCAGGAGGCATTTTGCTATGTTCTAGTCTTAGCAAATCCATACTGAGTCCAAAAGATTACCTTATTTTTCTCTATGTACTTTAAAAACAGCTTTTAAATAATATTTGTTAACACCGTTCCAGGGATTATTGATGAGCACAGCATTCTGTTGTGTTTGTTATATACCATTTTCCACTTGTAGAAAATCAGGACATTTACCTATTTCCTGTCACCTGCCATCACATCTCTTCTCCAAAATACTCAACATCTGCTGCTGACAGTGTTTCTAAGATCACACCTGTAAAGTCCCCCAGTTCCCTGAGAATAATTTTCCTAAGTCTGGGGACTTAAATTTATTCAAAACTATGAGGTGCTCTCTCATCATCTCTTCACCTAATTTGAGTGTTATTTTCCTCTTAACCATGTTTGTTTTTCTCTTTTTTGCTTGAAAATCATTTTCCTTGATAGAGAAAATAAAAATGTATTAGATGAGTTTTTTCTTGCTGTAATTGATCAGCATAATAAGATGAAAATCAAACACTGAGCTGTTTTTACCTTGCTCCTTTCTCACTTTTAAGGTAGCTTTAAAACTTAAACTTATTTTGAAGTTTGGTTTTCTTAGTGAGATTTTCTATTTTTCTCTTTTGTTCTTATTTTTAGTTATATGTCCTTCTCTCAGTCTTTTACATGTGTTCTTTTTAAACATGAACCCAACAAAACTCCCCAAGCCACCTAAGTAGTATCATTCAATTTTTATCTTTTTTTTGTCATGTTTATATAATTTAAAATTAAATTTGAGATTTTTATATTTGAGTGTGTCCCCAACCCCACTAACTTGAGTCATAGAAGCAGATTGCTCTGTGGTGGGGCCCCCATTCTGAACTTAAGCTGCCACTAGAACAAATCTTGTAAGCCTGATAGAAGTCTATTTAGTGAGAGACTTAGGAGCTTGCAGCAGAGAAAACTTATGAAGAGCTTGAGACAGACATGTCAGCTTGGCTCAATAACAAACCTCTGATGAAATAGACTCTGTTCAGGAAACAAGGAGTGATTTTGAGTATAAGGTAGTGTGGTGGTTGTCACTTAAATTCATTTCTGTCCTTATCCAGTTCTCAGAGAGAGACAGAGTTCTTAGCTGGGGCAATGAGATATGCAGATAAACTTGGCTCACACTCCCATTTCTATGACGTGGGAATATCCAAATCCCTCTTTCTGATTTCTGCAAATTCCTAGAATTGGGTCATTTCCTGAATACTCTAAGAAGTGTGTGTATGTGTGTGTGTGTGTCTGTGTGATGTGTGTGTTGGTGGAGAAGTTGCAGAGTCCGACCTCTTCTGCAAGCAGCTTAGAGGCTAAATTTAGGGAAATGTGAGTTATCATTAATATGATACCATTGAATTCACAGCATAGTGAATCTAGGGCAGAGGTGGGGAGGAGTTCTGTTTGTTTCTTTGACTTTTTTAAAAGTCTTCAAGGATAAAGACATACGCGTGCGCACACACACACGCACACGCACCTGATGAATAAGCAAGTATAGCACATAGTAGGTAGTTGATAAATATTTCTGATTTAATAAAACCATTTAAATTGGGAACATAAATATAAATATACGTGACATTACTTTATCTGGTTGTTATGAAATCTAAAATGACAGAATTCTTTTCTCCCAAATTCCATGTAATGCCCACTTGACCAAGTAGCTCTCCTTTGTATTCAGAATTAATTTCAGCGATGGAAGCTCCTTCTGTCACTACCTCCTCTTTCTGTGAAATGACACAGTCAGCAGGCAAGCCAAGAAATTATCAGACATTCCACTTTTAGCAGAATGATTTCCCTAGCAGCTCCCTCGATAATTGAAGTCTCTTCATACCACTACATTTGATCTCCTTGCCAGTTATGTCATTGGGTTAGAATTACATTCAGTCACATAAGTGAATATTTAACATATTAAAATTAGAAAGATTTTTATTTACCCCTGTTTTTCTATTTAATCCTATTATGTTTGAAACATCTTCACATCACCATTTTTGTATGTAACTCTATAGAATATTAGCTGTCCCAAAGAAAACGTCTAATTCTCTCTTTTGTACATCATTTCTGACATATTCTTAACCAGGGAGTAGACTTCATATTGGAAAAAAATGCATTATCTTCAAGAGTTTTTATTGGTCTTGCTAATTTACTCAAATCCAAAGATGTATATAAATGAAATGTTGTCCTTCATCACAATCCCTCCTCGCCTGCCTGACAAACTTATGACCAATCAGAACCTAAGTGTTAACATGTCCTTGGGAAAGTTTTTCTTGTACTTTCTTTGAACTAATACTCATCCTTGTATATATTTCTATAACAAGACTATTCGCACTATTTCATGATACCTTTGTGTTAGGTAAAAAATAGCATGTAAATAATTCCATCTTTTTTTCCACTCTTGGCTGCTAGAGATTACTGATCTAGCCAGAACTGTTTCTTCTCTTACTCCTAAGATTCTCTTGAGCAGGTTTAAAGCTGAATTAGGAGATAAGGATGTTTTGAAGCAAAATTTCATGGGGGTTATGGAATTGGCGGTGGGAGGGGCATAAAGAAACATTCTGGGAGTTTGAGAGAAAAGCAGGAGCAGCTGCAGTGAGAATAAAATGGATGAAAATGGGAATTTTAAAAGAAAGAATATACTTCATTTCTTAGACTTTGAGATATACAAATTGACTTACTTTAAAAGCCCTGATCATGCTTCTGTAACTGCTCTGAAACTGTTCCACATGAGATCATGGTTTCCATAAAATTACATTTGGCTTATTCGCCCTTCTGATCTCTTCTGTAAACTCCTTGAGGGAAGGGTCTATACCATTAATTTCCATATCCCCAGCTCTTAGTTCATAATAGGTATTTAATAAATAATTGTTCAATGGAAAACTAGAAGTGTTTCATTTAACAAATGGGGAAGTCGGGAGGTTCCCTAATTCTGTATAGCTGTGCCCTTTGAAATTCAAATGCCATTAACACTTAATTAAAAATTTCCCCTTAACTAATGCCACTATGATGCTGTTAGTTTTAGTAGAAAATAAATCAGGAGATCTTCTAATAAGATCCAACATTATGCTGTAACGAATGATTACAGTAGGAGATTTAGGGAGAGATATATGAGAATTTTTGACCCTAAAGCCAGTTAAATATGATTGTTAAACATATCGGCCCTATGACACACTGCTCTCTCTTTCCAAGAGCAGTTCTGTTATCTGTATGGTCTTTCTAGTCAGTTCAGTAAAGGTCCTATGCACTAAAATGTTTGGCATCCCTCTCTCCAGCAATATATAATAAGATTTTTAAAAGCACTAAACCAAAAACCAAAAAGAATAGCAAAGTTCTGGTTTTTCCTGTGATATATACTTGAATTTTTAAAAATGATCAGCTATAAAAATCATTCACAAACTTTATGTTTTTGATCCAGCTCTGTTAGTGCCCTCCCTATGAACATGAAATGTTTCAAGATGAAAGATGGCAAAATGTTCACCATAAAACTAACTTTCTACCATCTCTTATTAATGAAGGAATGATGAAAGTTTGTAGTAACGAGAAACATATGCATTTGAGTTTTGACTTAAACACGTTTTCAGGCAAGGAATTTGAAATCTAGAGAGCCTAAGACAAGATTTTATCAAATACCATCAGGTCTGTGTTCAGAAAAATAATCTAGACTTTTAGACTTCTAGTTCAGTATTCTTTCAGCCATACCCAGTATTTCAATACAATTCTAAATTTTCCAGAGAAAAAATATAATAAAGCCTTCCTATGCTTTCTTTGATGTTTTCCCTTATATATAGTGTGAGGAGAAAACATTAATCACTCAAGTATTTATTGAATCTCTACTATATAA